ACATCAGGTTAACACCAGACGAACAGACAGTCGCGATCAATACAACATCAGTGATTGGAAGATGCGGCACTTCGACCAATGGAAAAATTGGCTATAGAGATACCGTAAGGCTGGGTGACAGGGAAGTGATATGATAAATACACATCGCCGGTAAACAAGCAAGCTCCAGAGTCCAAAGCCGTACCCGGTCTCAATGCCGGCTGAAAATATGGCTAACGTCAGATCCGTAAGTAACCATGAATCGAAATGCAAAATCACCATTCAAATAACATATGAAACAATACACGAATCTACTAGACAATCAAAAGTAATTGTTCGAACTTACTGTATATAAGAAAAGATAATAAACAGGTGACGAATTTTACAGGCTTCACGATCCAGCAAACTGTTCAAAGGAAATTCTCTCGATTCTTTCTTCTCGCCTAGATCTAAGTTCGCAGAACAACGCCGGCAGACGAAGATGTCTATCCTATAGGATACAATAAATTTAAAAAATGCATCACTAGACAGATATATGCAATGACATGACGCGCCAGCAAGACTGTACTGCGATGAAATTGTAAAGGACAAACAGGAGTTCCGCAAGGCGAAGTTTAATTCACAAAAATTAATTACTTAATTAATTACAATTTAAACAACTGCACAGTCAATTATCGTGATCTGCTGTTGGTTCGTGAAGAAGTTCATGCGTATCTGATCCCGGTTGAATTTGCTCGTTGACAATGGCTGGCTGAGCAACCTCCAATAATTCAACTTCTTCCCATGGCACCCGGAGCTTCAGCTCTTTCTCGACGATCAAATCGACAATCATCTGGGTTTTGCTTGCGGGCAACGCAGACACTGCGTCGTAGTATATGATCTTTTGCCATGGACAGCTGCGGATGGCTCGGTACGATACCTCCTCGAGCTTACCTTCAGCGAAAAGCGTTTCGAACCTCAGCCAAAGACGCCAGAGTAGCTCTAGGTTCGGATAAGTATTTGCGTAATGGTCGAATACGTGCCTCAGTCTGTCGACGCCGTCATTCGCCCTGACACCTGTGTCCTCTTTTACTTTCAAAAATCTCGCAAACTCAGCGTAAATCACGGCCACTGAGCACAGAGGCGAGGTCTTCGAGCAGACAGTGTCGAAAAAGTTCCTCAACTTCACGATCAGATGACCGCGTAGATAGAAGTCACAGAAAAGTTTCAAAAAACCGCAGTGATTCGGAAAAGTTTTTAAAGCCTCGTCGAGAACCACCATCAGTAGTTTAGGAGCACAACCGCTTTTTCGTCTACCGTTCACCTCAGTTAGAAATACTTCGTTTTCATACACGCACTCTAGTTCCCTGTCGAACGCGTAGTACAGACGATGAGTGCACTGTGGTGGTGTTCGTTGCTCTGTGAGCTGCTTCACGACCTGCCTGGTTTCCGCGTAGATTTTGTTACTGCCGCTAAGATCGTCGGTCATCAAATATTCATAGATGGCACGCAGGTGTGACAGAAGAGTGAACGAAGTTCCCAACCAGCCAATGGACAGGA